GTTTGAGTATAGGATGACAGAAACTTAGAATATTTTTTGAAGATGTTTGTAAAAAGGCTGATGACATCTAAAGACAACAAGAACATAGTTCTCAGGTATACGCAATTATGTTTCTGGGGGATTGATCAAATTGTGTGAATAACTAGCCAAATTATATCCAAGTGAATTAATACATAAAATTGGTTCCAGAGGCGGTCTACTCGAAGTGTTGACATGAAAACAATGGTTGGTCTTGTGAATATAAAAAAACTTGAATCTATAGGAATTCAGCAGCATGACATAATGACATTAGCATTGACGCAAATAGTAAATTTATAAACAGACAGGACCAGCTTACTAGACACGTAGGCTTCAATGTGACCAGTTGACTGATACTAATACCCAGGTCACTGCAAGTCGAGCTGCATATTATTAAAATTCGTGCAACTTCGGCGGCTTGGCTATACTCGGCTTCAATCCCTGCCCACCGTAGATTCTAGGGGCCTTATTCTTGAACAGAGGAGCAGCGTTCCCAGGAGAACGAGTGTTCCGTCTTTGTTACTTATGTTATCATTTGCATGTGATTGAGAAAGACGTTCTCCTGGGAACGCTGCTCCCTTGTTTCAAGAATAAGGACGCAGGAACTCTCTGACCCGGAGAGTGAGCACCTGTTTAAGGTTCCTGCTCGGTGTTACGAGCGAAGACCATACCGGCAGCGATGGCGTTAGGGGCGCAGCTTAAAAACGGATTCAATGGCGTATGTGGTAACCCTGTCTTTGGGGCTAAAAGACAAACTAATGTTGGGTAGAAGCAGAATTAAAAGTGTTTGGTAGGCGTATCACCAGATATGGAAAGAAAAACGTCACCAAGACACATAATCAAAGGCGCGGCAAGGACTGCTAAGTGGCATTGACAATGCGGTGAGGAAGGCAACGGAAAGCCACCTCACTAAAATTTCTAGTAGATCAATCATGGCTAAGTAAACCTTAAAAATGGACCTCCGGGCAGGCCCTAGATGATCAGACGGTGCTAAGAATCCCAGGTTAGCAATGAAAGTACAGTCTTTCGATTTTAATCTGATACTCCAAAGGAATGTGAGCTGGTGGCTACCTACGTTAGAACGTCAATGGTCACCTGACGTCACACCTGTTTTTGCCATATGAAACACCCCCTCGCTTCTCATACGGAAAGTATCAGATTAAAAACGACGGACAATATCTACATGGAATGTCAGAAGCCGATTTGCACCAGGAAAACTGGATAACCTCGTCTTAGAGATGGAAAGGCTACAAATCAATATAAAGTTTGTTTCGCCAGGGTTTGTACTTGTCACCAGTATTTGCCTTCCTTGTTTAACAAATAAAAATTGACTGAAACAAATCAATGATGTCAAAAACGTTCGTCGGTTGTTAAACCAGAAGTCATTTATTTCAATTTGTCAAAAAAATTGAATGTGTCATATGAATTAATCTAGGGCAACCCTTTTTTTTCAAGTTTCAAGGTCAAGTATGAACCCTGGTGAAACGAACTTTACTTGGAGTGATGTCCAGTGGACAGGTTCAGGCAAATACCCAACCAAAAACGGCACTATGTACTGTAATCTCCTTTTGTTAATGAATTAACAAGAGTCCCAGAATATGCTCAGTTTGCTCAGCGAATAATTATGAGGGGTGGGTCAATAGTTCAAGAAGTACAGAATGTCAAGGGCACCACTGAATTTAAAAAATAAATAATTAAATTATATAAAATATTGAAGTGTGAAAATTCAGGATGACACCTAAAAAAATAATCAGCAAACGGTAATTGATAATGCTGAAAAGGGAATAAATAAGGCATATAACTCAACCAAATCTTGACATAGGTAAAACCAACAAAGCACTATAGCAATTTTCAAATCACAGTGAGGTTAATAATCAAGTACCTATTAGACTATCCAAGATGCTGTCAAACTTAAATTAAAATGTCTGCCAAGAGGCACACAAACCTTTTGTTTGCTTGTCAAAGTGACGTGTTTTAGATAGGCTAACTATTCAAGGTCTGTCAAGCTTAAATTAAAATGTCCGCCAAGAGGCACACAAACTCTTTGCTTGTCAAAGTCACGTGTTTTAGATAGGCTAATTAAATAATTTCAAAAGATAAAATCAATAATTGTTGGTAAAAAACTGTAAATAAAAATAATAAAATAATAAATAGAGGTTAACTCTCAATCAACTCGTTAAATAGAGATACCCCAATAGCAACAGTTTGGTGTGCAATTTCTATTGAGAAAAAATACAGACCATTTTCATTAATGAACCAACGATAACAGAAACTGTATATACTGATAGGTTCTTTTTCTTGCATTTAAGACAGGAGAGTATCTTGGATGATATCTATTTTCAGAAGGATAGTGTCCCGACCTCATTATTCTTTAATAGCAAGAAAATCACTAGATATGACATTTGGTGAAAGACGGATAAGGAGAGCTGGTCCTATAGAATTGACACCTTACTCTCCTTGCTTGAGAGTTCTAGACTTTTTTCTTTGGGGAAAACCCCAAAGAAAAAAGTCATAAAAAAGTCAAGAAAGAAAATATGCGGTAATACCTACTTTGCTCAAATAACCTGGAAGATCTTAAGCGGAACATTTTCAATGTTATTCAAGCGATTCTCTAGGAAATGTTACACAATTCATTCAACCGTTAACTGATCCATAAATGCATGGAACAGAATGGCAAACATATACATATACAGTATTTTGTATAGTTTTATGCAGTTTTTATTAACTTTTTATTAGGCAAACATAATTTCCAAACTTTCAAAATATGCGTTTGCAAAAATACCAAGATTTCGATTTTGATTTTTTACGGCTAAAACATGAATCTTTTTTTTTTGACGTTGTGCTATACTGGGTGTTCCATTAAAAATAGTGGAGAATTTCGATGTTGAAAAAATGATTTTTTTTTACTGCGCAAACCGCAGGTAGCTATCACATCTAGTTCAAAAGTTATAAGCATTTAAAATGGGTCCCACTCGACTGGGACACCCTGTTCTGTAAGGCGCTTTTTGTACGGAAGCGAAGTAGTTCGATAATCGGTTTCTTATCCTACGGTTATCTCGGGCGCCACCCTCAGGATTGAAGTGGTTGAGGACCCACGTGCACCGGGTAGTTTGTTACAGTGGAGAAACGGTAACCCAGGGGTCATATCAGACGTTGTTGCTCAACCTGACTACGTCTCAAAATAAAACCCTGAAAATTTCCTGTAAAGCTCCGTGATAAAATCAAACACCAAATTCGGTATTAGCACAAATTGTAGTTGCAGAATCCAACAGACTAATAATAAAGAATAAAGAAAGGGGTACATTAGACTTAAATCTATTTTTACATTTTTTAATTAATTATTAAACACTAATTTTTAACTTATTTTTGACCTTTTTTTCCTCTACAAAACGCATTACCTGGCAGCTTATGATATCCATCCCTGTTAATATACATATGAGCTAATTTATTGCTGCTGATGATGATATTTACTAATCACGAAACATGTAGGTCCGTTTAAAACTATTAAAGTATTTGTGGAGGAAGACTTTGAGCTTTCCTTTTGAAATAATGATTAGAAAGTTGACAATAAACGCCTTTACAGAAAATCTGGGATACCCGATCACCAGCTGTTTGTTTTTCATCTTTCTTTAACAAACACGATTGAAAAAAGACAAATTACATCAGCTGGTATTCGGGTTAATTGGATAAATAGGCGAATTTTGGCGTTTACCAGATTATCTGTACCGGTTACGGCTTTGGTTAGTGCCTGATGGTTAATCGTCCTACCAAGTTCGTGACCAGACGCCAAAACGATCTAATAATAGTAATAACTGTTTACTGACATAACTTTCATTGTCTCAATGTTTATATCTGATTTCCGTCTTATATGCTCTTCTGTAATTATCGCGAAATGACTAGTCATAGCGATGAGGACTTGGTTATGCTAGAAAAAAGAAAACAGAAAAATTCACCACAAATATGAGGTTATATACTCATAACCGTCCGCCGTTCATAAACTCTGGAGCTAGGTTACGAAATCCGTAACCGGGAAACAATGACATACAGCGTTGCCAAATCTCATTACCAGATGGAAGAAAGTACGCCAAAACCCGGTCGGTTACGAATTTCGTTACAATTCCGTTACCTGGTAAACGCCAAAATTCGCCTAGTGTTTCCGTCAGGGCCGGTTCGACAATTCAAGTATATCCTTGGTATAGGCTATACCTAGCATAAAAGTTTATTTTAAAACTAAAAAATTAACTTTTATGCTAGGTATAGCCTATACTCAAGATTGAATTGTCGAACCTGCCTTAAAGGTCTTGACGTCACACGCGTTTTTGGAAGCTGGATTTAAACACGCTGGGGCGTGTTTTGAATAAGCAAAATGGGGTACCCATTAAAAAACTTTAACTTTTGTTTTACTTTTAACTCTTGAAGCTCCAACATTTTGAAGCAAAGTCATAAGAGAATGAAATACCAATCCCTATAACAATTTTCCAACCAAATTGGAGGAAAGACACCGGTGGTGGATTGATCTCCTAGATGCTGGCGACACAAAATTTTGTTCACTGTAATGTTTATCTGTGTTAATATGTCATTGGCTGTCACAGGTTAATCTGTGGTCACAGGGTTGCGGCCCCATCGCCAAGAAAGAAGCGGCAAGCCAATTTACGATTTTTTTCATGTTTTTCTTTGAATGAATTATGATTTTATCTCAACTGGGGATTTCTTCTTTCAAAAACCCTATCAATCAAATTACTTCGCAGAAACGTATTCCTCTAACAATAATTATCTCTAAAAAATATATTATCTTTAAAAACCACGCGATCGAATCTCGTATTTTAGATAAGGACGATCACCGATCACTAATAAATCCCATCAGTATGTGGAAAGTGCCATGATTCTCTAATGACTGGACCGGAGATTTTGCGAATTTGCCTCTATGGAATTTGCATAGTAATTTGGCAATCAATGTCAATGTGTCAGTAATAAATCAAAAAAATTAGTGCAGCAATTTTTAACTTCATATTTAGATACTTTACACGGAAATAGGGGTAAGTCTTTCGATCTTTTTTATTAGATATTGTTTGTATGTATGCTCTGCGTGCTTGATAAAATAAGAAAAATCATTAAAATTTTAAAATTAAAAGATACTGGATGTTAATTTTCTGACAAAATTAACTAATAATGAAACCTCAAAGAAAAATTAGAAAATATAGTTCAACAGTGAGTTTTCAACTCTCAGCGTGAGAAAAATTTAATTAAACTTTACAGGAAATAAGTGTATAGACTGAGCGGCAAAATAAATTTTCAATTCGAATTTATTACCTTTTTAATCAAAATTCCTGAATAGAGAAACTTTTCAGATATCTGCAACTTTAAATTAAGTTTATTAGTATTTGAAGGAACTTCTTGGTAGATCAGTAGGGTTTTTATTTAGTAGGTTATTACTTTTTTCAGCAAAAACTGAAAACAAATACCAGACTCATCTTAACTAAATTGCTTCGAGTTGATATTGATAATTCTTCTTAAAAGCTCGGTTGGAAATGAATTACCAAGTACCTAGGTACTTATTTTTTAATTCTGTTTGTATTAAAGTAGAATCAATTTTTCAAAATTATTTCAGGAGGGTAGGCAAATTGACAATAATTTATCATTGATATGATCATTAAAATGTCTAAGGAATCCGACGAAGGACTTCACCTCAACCATCAGCTTTAATTTAACCCTTTCTATTAGGTCTATGAAATAGTATTCCTATAAACTAAATGTCAATTCAAATATCTTTTTAATCACAACAAAAATTGTATATATTTTTTTTTTATCAGAGTAGGTACACAATAATGATCGTCAAATGACAATTTTCCGTACCCTCTTGTTGATGCTATTTCTAAATTACCATCAACAATGCTTAGCGAGGGGCCGGCAAGTTTTTAATTTGTAAAATCCTGCAATGTTCATCTTGAAATTTGTTATTTCCCGTCATGCTGGCAGGTTTAACTCCTACCTATGAATGCATGCACCATGCGAGTAGAAAATTAGTCGTAATCACCCTCTTTCTCTATTCTTTATTTTTTAATGCACACGCGGATATTTAAAATGCTAATATGCATTGTCTCTGCGTTTTAGTAACAATGGCTTGTCAAATTAAAACTCCATTTTAAATAATGGGTACTCGCTATAATAAAACATGGATGTAGAAACAATTATTAGGTATATGAATTTTTCGTATATTATGCATTAATAGCTTTGGGACTAGGTAGCGTAGATGGTTAATTTTTAAAGCAATTTAATTTTTGAAGTGCCTTGGTAAATTTAAAGAAAATTATTTTACTTATCGTTATAACACGGATTGGACTTCCTAATAATAATAATAATAATGATAATAATAATAATAGCGAAGTTTGAAACCAAGCTTCCCATCTTAAAGCTTAAACTATTAATCCTAACATAACCTTGCTGAGGTATCCGCGTCAATAAAGTAACGGTTTTTCCTTCCCACATCGTAGGCGGCTTGAGCTGGGGTTTTTGGCTTATCGTATACATATTGTCACGACTCTGGGGTGCGTGACAGAAATCTTGGATCAGTTTATTCCAAAATCAAAGTCGAATTATCACAACAATAATTTGTTCCACGTTACTATACACTCTGGCACTAATTACTTCTCTAATGAACTCAAATAACTAAACTCTTTACAACTCTTAACAATAATTACTATCTAAATCATATCGCAGTCAATCTTAAACTTAAAAACTACCAACCACTATCGGCCTTTATATATCCGTAATCTATTCGTGTAAAGTTCACAATAAACGCGATAACCTAGAATCAGCCATCCAGTTTTGTACATACTGTCGGAAGCACTGTCCGTAAAATGCTTGTTTTTAAGATTTTCTTTCCTTTCTGGTTGCACCTTTATGATTTCAAAAATTAAGGAAATTTTATAAATTTTAGCGTTCTGAAGAATTCTAAAAAGCGTATGACAAAAAATAGTGTTTGTCACACGTACCTAACGAAGTTTTTCAGGACTCATCTGCTATTCCGGAAACAGCAATGATTCGTCCTGAAAAACTTCATTTTAGGTACTTGTGACAAAAATAACTATTTTATGGAGTCAATTTTAACCGACCAAATAAAAACGAACCTGCAAAATATCAGGTATTTTCAATTTTATCATTGTATAAAAAAAGTCTGTTTGTTTATACAATGGTTTTTATGAGTATATTTATTAATCCTAAGAACGGGAGGAACTGGATTTATTATTTCGTGTTCGTGTTTGATAGTTGGTGTTTTTAGTGGTTTTTCTTGAATTTTCGTGTGGCGTACTTTTAAAACTGCTTGATTTTTGAACTTAATTTCAGCAGTGTTTCGACCTCGTAGAAATTGTAAGTTCCTCCTGGCTATGACTATGGAGTCGAAAAGAGCGCGTCCCCTTTGTATGGTTTTATTTTGCCAAAATAAAGGTAAAATACCGGGAATTAGCTATTTCAAGTAAGTAAAACAACAAATATAAAGCTTATAATTAAGCTCGTATGAACATTTTCAAACACTACTTGAAAATATTTAAATGCGGTCCTGTTTACTCAACCTTGATTTTGAAACGATTCCAAACAGTGAAATTGTAATGCGCACGTTCAACGGCTACCTGGTTTGGCGCAGGTTTTTGGTCCTACAGTTTGCCATTTTTCGAATACGCTAATGCTTATCCATCTATAGAGGTCAGTGAGCAAGACTCGTAGTTTTCATAGTTTTGTGCGAGCGTCTGTACAAAGGTGACATGCACGTTGTTGTTTGCAAGTTGATGTACGCACGTAGGTATATGTATCAAGTCATTCACGTCCGTGTGTAATCGCCTTTAGGGTGGATCGTCCGGATCAACTTCGCGCCCATGTTATTTCGTCAATCTCTCCGAATGTTAAACTTTCATCTTACTCCTTACTCCTGGTGTTGCGCTGGATAAACCAAATCATTAATCCTCCTGATTATTCTATAGGGTTCTTCCCATGCTTCCCGTGCTCGATAATACAGCCACTAAATCATCTTCTTGAAATCCGGCTGAATTGGCTTTCAAGTCGTATCTTGTCTTCATTCGGTCACTGGTAAGCTAAATATGCTCCCGAGCAAAATCATGTATCTCCAGATGTCGTGCTCTTACTTCGTCAGCCTAATCTCGAATTTCTTTCCGTTCTTCTTCAGGTATTCCAAACATCAAATCGCAAGGTAATCTAAGTTCCCTTCCAAAAACCATTCTAGCTGGACTTTCACCTTTTGAATCATGAACAGCTGCTTTGTAAGCCATTAAAAATAGAGGCAAATGTTTTTCTCAATCTCGCTGGTTCTTTGCGACCACTTTTGTCAGGTGTTCCTCTATGGTCTTATTAAATCGTTCTACCATGCCATCAGACTATGGATGTAAAGGTGTTGTCCTTGTCTTACGAATTTCCATGATCTCACAAATTTTCTTAGAGATGGCAGATTCAAAGTTTCGTCCCTGATCTGAATGTAACTCTAGTGGCACACCATGGCGACTAAAAACTCTGTCCACTAGCATCTGAGCAATAGTGATGGCCTCTTGATTGGGAAAAGCGAAAACTTCTGGCCATTTACTGAAGTAAACCGTGATAGCCAAGATGTATTTGTTACCACGCTTTGACTCAGGGAACGGTCCGGCTACATAAACTAGTCAAAACGAAATAAGGACCACTTTTAAAAACACCTTTATTTTTATTGAATTTTTGAATGATCCTGGTAAACTGTTTATTTCCATTCACAATATAAATTTTTTGTGCACACTTCGATTGTTTATCTATCTTGTGGATGGAAGAAGTCACTTTACCAGGATTATTGAAAATTTAATAAAAACCAAGGTGCGTTTAAAAGTGGTTCTTAGTTCGTTTTGAGTAGTTTATATCGCTATTCTTTCAAATGAGAGACCAACTCTGTACTATTTCATGGGCCCCCGAGATCTTAGTCTAGGGCCTTCACTGATAGCACAGATGTCGCATTTTCGGCACCAGTTTTTAACGTCTTCATGATAGTAGACCCAGCAAAAACGTTCTCGAATTTTGTCCAAAGTCTTGTTAACTCCAAAATTTGCCCTTCTACTTCATCTTTTGGAATGACTAGTTGGCTGTTCGTAGTTTTCCCAAACTCTTTTCAGTAAACCATTTTCTACGGCCAGAGAGTTCCACAATGCCTTATAAATCAAACTCTTGTTCGACACTTCCCTCCATTCTGGCTTACATTCATCATTTTCTTTAAGATGTAGAAATCGCCCGATATCCTGGTCTGGTTCTTGCTCTCATTTGTTTGGTAGCCCATTTATCATCAACGATCAGACCCTCTCTCACAGCCGGACCAGTGTATTTATCATTCATGTCGATTCTTTCACAATGCTTGCAGTCTTCTTTGCATGGTCGTCTAGACAGAGCGTCAGCATTTTTATGCAGGTTTCCAGGTCGATGTTTAATTTGGAAATCGTATTGCTACAATTTTTCAATCCATGAACTTACTCATAGGATTCTCGAAGCTACCATCTTTTTTTGACGATTGTTTATCCTTTGGGTCTTCAATAGACACTGCTCGTATTCTAGGTCATGAGGCACCAAAGATTGCTTCCAATTCCAATGCTCAGACAAGGGCTTCGCTACTTTTTCTGAATAGACACTGCTCGTATTCTAGGTCGTGAGGCACTGCTTCCAGTTCCAATTCTCGGACAAGGGAAGTACTTTTCCTGAACTTGGATATCCGCAGGTTTTCCTGAATCTTGGAATCGCTGAGACCATCAATAAACGCAGATACTGCCATCCATTCCTGCATGTCTTCCACAGCTGCAGAAAACGCCAAACTCACTAGCCTTTTAACATCCGATTCGAATTTTTGTGAAATCTCGCCGGGTTTTTGAATTCTTGATTTAACTTCAGTTCTAAGTACTTCTTGCCTGTAATGGTTTCCGAAGCGCAATTCTAATGTCTGACTTAGATGCTGGTAATTTTGTTGGTAGATTGAAGGAATGGACTGAAGAAGATCTAAGGCAGATCCTCGTAGCGTCAC